GAGAAAAGAGAGATTTTGGCATCACAGCGGCCATTGTGACGGCCGTTGCAATGTCGGCTGCTGCAGCGGTAACTGCGGGTATTGCCCTAGCCAATCAAGTTCAAGCAGCAGAAACAATAAATAATATAGTGAATTCCTCGGCAGATGCTATGGTAAAACAGCATAAAATGAATAGCCATTTGATTTCTGGGATACTGCTTGCTAATCAGTGAATAGATCTATTACAAAGCAAAATGGAAGAAATTGCTGATATTCTTCAAGTAAGCTGTGTAAGTCATACTAAACACATGTGTATCACACCCTTGAAATATAACAATGAGTCTTTTACAGAAAGTACTAAATTATCTAATTTTTTTTTTACAAGGAAATTGGTCACAACAGGCTGAGGAGCTACAAGAAGAACTCCTGCTCACGATTGCTGTTTTGAATGGGACCAGAATAAACCCGATTGATGTTGAAGACTTCACTTCCTGGCTCACGTCCGCCTTCTCCTTTTTAAAGGAGTGGGTGGGGGTGGGAATGTTTGGCTGTATGATCTTTGGGGGAGTGCTGATCACACTCTGGTTGCTCTGCAAATTTAAAAAACAACATCGTAGAGATAAAGTACTTATCACTCAAGCACTGCTTGCCTTAGAGCAGGGAACATCCCCTCAAGCTTGGTTGAATATGCTTAAACAATGAGACACTATCATTCAATGGGATACCCTGAGGGCTCGTGTTCCCATTGCACCAGGAATCCTGAGTGGTAGTCCTCCACACTTCCCAGGGCTCGGGTTCCCATTGCACGGGAGATAAGTGTGGAGGGTCTCACAACTGTTTAACTGCCTTGAATGCCTTACTGGTAGAACGGTGGGCTTGATCGGCGAAATAACAGTTGGAAAATTGTTGCAGCAATTTAATAAAAAAGGGGCAGATGTTAGGAGCCGAGTTCGCCATTGCAACATGGCGCCGGTTTCCTGCTTCCTGGTTCTTCTTGCGAGCCTTGCTTGAATGTGCGCCTGCGCAAGGCGTGAAAACCAGTATGCTAATTTGGTGATATCATAAGAGCCAATGAGTGTGTGGCACGTCTCCTAAAGCTCTATATAAGCCACAGGTTTTTGGGGCTTGGCATCCCTCACCTCACTGCCATCTAAAAGAGCTGTAACAATAAACTGCTGTCAGAAGAATCCTGAGCGTGGCGTTCTCCTTATCGGCGAGGCGGCGCCCCGCAGTAAGGACCCTGAGTTTGGGGGTAACCTGGACAACGAGCAACTCACTGGTTCTGGGACATGAAGATCCTGATCAAACATACCAACAAGCAGCAGCAGCAGCAGCAACAACAACAACAACCACAAACTTTTAAAAACTTGGAGTACAGTTTCTAACAAGTATACGTGGCTACCACACCATATTTTTTTTTTTTTGGTTTTTCAAGACAGGGTTTCTCTGTGTAGTCCTGGCTGTCCTGGAACTCACTCGGTAGACCAGGCTGGCCTCGAACTCAGAAATCCGCCTGGCTCTGCCTCCCAAGTGCTGGGATTAAAGGCGTGCGCCACCACCGCCCGGCCTACCACACCACCACACCATCTTAAAATTGGGAAATAGCTACGTCAACCATCACAAGCCAGAGACTGTGTTATGTGTTTGCTTCTGTCATAAGGATGCATTTTTTCACAAAGTATGAAAGCCAGTAAGATGGTTATTACTCCTAAAAAGTTTTAACATGGGAGACGGCATGTATAATCATGAAATTTATGGCAAATCCTTTACCTTTAAGGCCATAGAGAATCTGCCTCCACAGTGCTTAAGGTGTGTACAACCATTCCCAGCATTTGAGAAGTAATTTAATAAAAAAGGGAATAAATGAGGAAGGTGTCACATAGGGCAGGTATGTTTCTGACTTCCATCATTTTCAGCTTACTGTGAGTTTACAAGAATGGATGTAAGTTCATTATAACTTGACAACTGTCTGTATATAAAAACATACCCACATTGGTCTGGAAGGTGGATCAGTGGTTAAGACCACTCGCTGCTCTTCCTGAGGATCTGAGTTTGATTCCCAGCACCAACATGGTGGCTCACAGCTTTCTCTAACTTAAGTTCTAGGGGATTTGACACCCCTTTCTGGGTTCAGTGGGTACTGCACACACGGGGTGCATTTGCATGCATGTGGACAAACATCCAAATAAATAAAAATAAAAGGAGAATATGAACCTTTAAACAAAGTGAACAAGAGCACGCTGTAATGACAGGGCTGTCAAGAGGTGGCAGACAATTTTCAGAGCAGTTCACTAAGGGAGGCATCTTTCCTGGGAAAGGTCTGAAGCAACTGCTAGTTGGGATAAATTTATTCCTGAGAATAAACTCCAATGAATGCTGCGGCAGAAAAGATGTCTTCTATTATGAGGTAATCAATTCTAAGGACATAAGATTTCCAAATTGGTCCCAAAAACAGGGCACCCCTACCTCTGACCTCTGGCCCACTCTAGTAGGATGTCTTGATGTGGGGAGAGTTGTTTATGTTACAGTTAGTCACAGGAGATAAGACAGATGGGGGCAGTGGTTTTATTCTTTGGGTAGGAACCCCAGGGTTTAAACTTAAACCATCAAATGACCTCATCAAGATTCACGTTAGAGACCATATGTCTGCAGTGAGAGCTTTGGGAGCCTCAAGAATTTAGCATAGTGACTCCACTTAAACTCTTTTTGATATTCTCTTAGTAAATATCATTACTTGTGCCCCAGTAAGGAAAACAACGTTTTCTGGAAAATCCATAGAATCTAACACACCTATTAGAAATAGTTACTATTTCAGGGAAACACATTTTATAGAGTTTCTTTAAATTTTTTTTTTAAAAAAGATGTATTTATTCATGTATTTTATATACGTGAGTGCCCTGTCTGCACGTACACCTGCATGTACACCTGCAGGCCGGATCTCATTATAGATGATGTGAGTCACCATGTGGTTGCTGGGAATTGAACTCAGGGCCTCTAGAAGAATAGCCAGTGTTTTTAACCTCTGAGACATCTCTCCAGCCCCACAAGAACTTTAATTACAAAGAGTTCAAGGGGTTTAAAGAAGATATAAAGAAGCATCTCAATGAAATTAAGGAAACAGAACTTAAGGAGAATAAATTCCTAACTGATGTCTGAGAGAACACAAACCAGGCTGAAGGAAATGTGAACACAGGCCTGGGCTTGAGAACAGGACTCCATGAGGAGACAGAAACACTGTGGATTCAGGCTGAGACGGACAGGGAGAGTCCAGTAACTCAGCTAGAACCCACAGGAACCCTGATGCATAGAAAATCAGAACTCAATGTTAAAGCAGAGATCTAGAGCTTTAATCAAGGAACATGGATTAAAAAATAACAGAGGAAAGGAACATTCAGGAAATGAGGGAAACCATGGACAAACAAAGCCTTGGAATTACAGGCTCAGGTAAGGGAGAAGATCCCTAGTCAGTGCCACAGACCAGACCATCAACAGGGTCATAGAAAAAAACTTACCCAGACTAACGAAAGACACTTAGAAGAAGCACACAGGACACCAAATAGACAAGGCCAGAAATGACATGCTACAGCATGTGTACACACCTACAACACACACACACATACACACACACACACACACACTAATAATAATAATAATTATTATTATTTTTAATTTTAAAAACTGGATGTCAGTTCCAAAGTGTGTTCTCTCTCTCCCTCCCTCTCCCTCTCCCTCTCCCTCTCCCTCTCCCTCTCCCT